AGATAAGAGAACACACTGAAATCTTCTAGAATGATAATCGATCTCTTGTAGAAATTAACGAAAATGCGAGATTCTCTTGTCCAACCTACTGCTCTTTTGATAAGCTCTGAAATTACTTTTCTCTCTGCTACTCGTAAAGTTGAAGCATGTCTAGTACTGTGAGCCGAGAATTTAGCTTAATTCCACAATCTTGTAGGCCCTGTTTGATCCAGCAGCTAATTGTTTGAGCCATGACTGCTTTGATTGACTTAGAGAGGGAGATAAAAAAGGAAGAACAAGAAAGTCGCAACTTCTTTGTCTTGTTAATATCTGTTAATATCTGGAATACTATGCAGACATTTTCGTGATGAGAGAAACAGAAGAAGGATGGAAACGATCCGATGCTGATGTTTTTAGCCGGTCCGGAATCCGAATCATCAATTTTTCACTAATCGAGATTTGTGATAATCTGAGAGAATTAAGAGTTTAAGCGCAATGTCCTGTATCGAGTGCAAAGAGAAGCACTAGCTTTTTAGTAATACTTTTTAGAGGAACACTCTTATAAAGATAGAGAGAGACTAGTTTGATTATCATCGGAGCTGGATCTCACACATAATCTTATCGCGAACGCGACAATTTAAGAGCTGCGACGCCCTTATAAAAACGTCTGACTGTAAGATGATTATCGGTTTCATTACAGGAAATTAAGGAGATCGCCGATCTCATGATATTCAAGCTGGAATATGAAGAAGTGTTGGGCAATTCCTGAACTACAATAGGAATTCTAGCGTCTGGATAGCCGAAGAAGAAAACGGGGATACACCGTGGCGTTGGCAAAAATTCCATCAAGCGCGAAGAAGATATAAATATTGTTTAATTTTAGATTCTGATAAAGAAGCGAGGAGAGCTGGGATAGCTGCCTGAGATACTAAGCGTTCTTCGCTTCTATAACTTCGTGACATTCAGGAAAAGCGATCTCTACGCTTGATGTTGATTCCTGAAAGGAGAAGATAGAAATGAAGGAAAGTTAGAAAGGAAAAATAGTGGCTCTGGTCAATAGAATAATGAAAACCAGACATGGGAAGGATCACCAGAGCACTATTACTGTGCCCATTACTTTATTGTCCATTATTTTCCTCAGAATCCGCGGTAATAAAATAAAAGGAGGAAAGGCATAAAAATTTAAACCCTTCCAGGAAAAGGTG